TATCAAATCAACTATTTAAAAGTTCTCTTTTTTTATGTAATTTCTTTAATTTTTATTTTTTTATTATAATTTAATTTAAGTTTAATAACGAAATAATTTATTTTTGGTTTAATAATATAAACACTTTAATAGATAATAATTAAGTATTTTGTTGGAACTCAATGATTATCCTAATTTTTTTAGAATTTTTATATTTAAAATGATAAGTTTATCATGTATTTTATTATGTTTATCTACAGTTAGTTACACGAATTCAGATATGAAGCTTTAATAAGTTGTACTTGCGCACAATCTACTTGCAATTTTGAGTTTTAAATAATATGCAGTATTTTACGCATAAAAAATGGTTTTTAATAGTTTTTATCAAATGCTTTATAATATAGTATATATAAAAAATTTAAAATATAATTAAGATAATAATTTAGTTTTTATATAATATTTAATTATTATTCTTTAAAAAAAATCATGGTTGGTTCCAACTCAAAAGAACATATATATGGAGCTATGTCGACTTAAGTACTTCTCGTATTATTAAGCAAAAATTATATTACTTTGTTATTAAATTTAAATTAAATTATAATAAAATTTTGAATTAAAGAAGTTACACCAAGAAATGAGAACTATTAAATAGTTAATTTGATATTAATATCGATTTTTTTTTTCAAAATCTTAAATTATCTTCAAATTTATATTTCATTCAAAAATAAAAACATTATCATTTTTTTAGAACCACATAAAATCGTATTATATCGATAGAGACAGAATAAACACTAAACATAAAAATGAAGATTTATTATGCTGCATTGCGCGAGTATTCTTCTAACATCTCTAAAGCAAATAAGTTTTTGAGCTTGACTTTAATTTTTTTTAACATTTTAATTTTTAATTCTTCATTTTAGAAAAAAATTCCATAATCTCTTGCCGACCTTTTAAATTTTGAAAAATCTACTTCAAATAACAATACAACAAAATTGGTTTTATAAAGCGTCTAAACGTATTACTCTATTAAACTTCAGTTTATAAGACCACATTATGAAAAATGTCATATCTAAAAGTATCATAATAATTTTATAAAGCATTTGTAAGAATTTTAACAAATTTTTATGACGCGTTTAAAATAAAAGTGTTCTATCAGCTATTTTATATAATATAATCATTTAAATTTATTTCTATAAATATTTTAATACTTTTTATAATATATTTTAAGAAAAATTATATA